ATGGTAACCTCCCCGTAAATCTATTTTCGAAAAAAACCTGTGCTGTTCGCAGTTGGTCGATCAGTTCGTCGGCGCGGGGAATGGGGTACCGCGACTTGACGGTTACCCTGTTGAGCGCTCGATAATCGATGCACATGCGAAACCCTCCATCTTTTTTTGGCGTGAACAGTATCGGTGCGGCGAACGGTGACAAGCTCGGCCGGATAAATTTCTTCTCTAACAGGTAATCTAACTGCTTCCTTAGTTCGTCGAGCTCGGGCTGTGTCAGTCTGAACTGGCGTTGTACAGTTTGTTGTGCCCCCGGTTCTAATTCTATTCGGTGGTCATGTGCTCGCTGAGGTGGCAGTCCTTTCGGTAAATCGTCGGGAAAAATCCCGGGGTATCATTTCAACAGTTCCTGTAATTCGGGCGGTACTACTACTAACAGTTTCTGAAAATCGCTTGGCTGCTCTGCTTCTTCTACTACGGCAATGTCCACTGCATACACGTCAGCTCCAGCGGCGACTGCCCGTTTCATCGTGATGGCGTTGACGTGGACCGTTCAAGACTCAGGCGACTGCCTGCGGGGTAGATCGATCGAGTTACCACTACTTCGCACAGTGCAGCTTCCTGTCGTCTAGTCAATTCTCAGGTTGTATCGTCGTAGCCAATCACGTCCCAGTAAAATGTCGTGCCCATCCAGTGTCGTCGCGAGCATTTCCTGTGTATATCCGAAGTTTCCCCCGCAGCGAACTTTTACTCTTTCCACCTTCTCCCGTATGGCCAGCAGCGTGCCGTCAACTAAGCGTGCGTTGATCTCTGGTAAGCACCGGCTGAGTGTCAGTTGCAGTTTCCATGCGGTTGCGGTATTAACTAAACTATGGCTTGCTCCTCCGTTGATAAAAATCTTCACTACTGCTCCTTGTATTTTCTCGTGGATCAGTACTGGGCAATCCGTCGCTGTACCCTCCTTATTCATCCGAGCCCGATCGATGGCGTGAATCGGTACTGTGACTCGGTGAGGGTCGGTGCGGTTGGGCGAGCATGCAATCTCGTCAGTTGTTGGCCCGACTCCTACTGACTGGTGGCGTTTCCCTACCTCTGAGACTCCCTCCCCTGCTCTGCTCCGCGGCGCCTCAGCTCCTCTGGGCATTCGCTCTTGCGATGGCCCGGCCTATTGCAAGCAAAGCAGCGCCCCTTAAACAATGCGGCAGCTGCATTCGTTGCAACGGAGTGTACGGTGGCGTGCTCGGTCGGTCCCCGAGGACGATGTTGTCAGAATGTTATAATTGACTAGCCTGGAGTGGGGTACTCTATAGCGAGTACAACCCAATTAGGGTTTCCTATATGTATGCCAACTGCTGCTAGTGCAACCCCTCTCTTCTTCATTGCTCGTTTCTTCACATGCTATCAGAGCATCTACGCTCCTGGCATGTGGGCCCACCTAACTGCTTCCGCTGCTACTCTATGTGTTGCACGCCCTGTGGCGTGCGACGGAATTTTTTCTTCCCCTCCTAGACGCCCCTCTCACGGCCCCTCGAGCGACCCTTAGCGGCCCCGTCACCGCCCCTGGCGGCCCCGTTGCCGCCCTTCTAGGCCCCTCGCGGCCCCTTCGCGGCCCCGTCGCCGCCCCTAGCGGCCCCGTCGCCGCCCCTAGCGGCCCCGTCGCCGACCTTTCAGGCCCCTCGCGGCCCCTTCGTGGCCCCGTCGCCGCCCCTAGTAGCCCGTCACCGCCCTTCCAGGTCCCTCGCAGCCCCTTCGCGGCCCCGTCGCCACCCCTATCGGCCCCGTCGCCGCCACCAGCGGCCCCGTCGCCGCCCCTAGCGGCCCCGTTGCCGCCCCTATCGGCCCCGTCGCCGCCACCACCGGCCCCGTCGCCGCCCCTAGCAGCCCCGTCGCCGCCCCTATCGGCCCCGTCGCCGCCTCCAGCGGCCCCGTCGCCGCCCCTTTTGGCCCTGCCTCGACCCTGCCCCGGCCTCGCCCCGGCCATGCTCCGTCGCCTGTTGCGGCACACCGGGGGCCCGTGCACCGCCCCCCCCCTCTTTTCCCGTCGCCCGTCGCGGCTCCTTGGGGGGCCGCGGGCGACCTGGGGGGGGGGGGGGGGGGGGGCGAGCGTCGCCCCTTTTGCCGCCTGTTTTGGCGTCCTGGGAGGCCGCGCGTCGCCACCCCCCCCCCCCGTAACCTCCCTACCCGTCGCCCGGCCCTGCCCTGTGTTAGGGTTTGGGGGTGGCGAGTAGGGGGTGGCGCGTGTGTGGTCTCCCCTGCTCCTCCTACTCCTCTGTCTCCCACTGCTGCAGCTGCCGCTGAGGGGGGTGGGTGTGTGGGAGTCGACGGAGTGGTGCTAGGGGGTGGGGTGTGAGTGAACCTAGGGTGCAGCAAGGGGTGTGTGAAAGGGGGGTACTGTGGGAGTGGAACTAGGGTTTGAGCAGGGGGTGTGTGTCGAGGGTGTGGGGCAGCTAGAGGAGGTTGTGTGAAGGTAGCTGTCGTGTCGCCTGCAGCGCCTGTAGTCCGTCGCCCTTGCTTCGGTAGCCAGTGAGCCTGTTGCACCAGTCGCCAGTGGGTCCGTTGCTCCTGCCGCTCGTCTATAGCCGCGGAGCCAGTTACTCCAGTAGTCCGTCGCCCTTGCTTCTGTAGCCACTGAGTCAGCCGCTCCTGTGCCCGTGCCTCTGCAGCTTCAGTCGTTGCCTCCCATCTTCTCTCCCTCCACAGTTCCTCCTCCTCCTCACTTGCCCGCTGTGATTAACTCTAGCTTTGCTCGCTTTTGTGAACTCCTGCTCTATGCCTGCTTGCTCATTGTGCTGATTACACCCCACTTTGGCTATGGGGGTGTGTCAGAATGTTATAATTGTCTAGCCTGCAGTGGGGTACTCTATAGCGAGTACAACCCAATTAGGGTTCCTATATGTATGCCAACTGCTGTTAGTGCAACCCCTCTCTTCTTCATTCCTCGTTTCTTCACAGATGTCCGTAGTAGGACCCCGGTCTCGGACGGCGTAAAAAGTCGATTTTCTCGGCGAGCGCAAGAATCTCGTTGAAGTTCGAGAGCCCGCGTAGCATAATTTCGTGCGAGATGTCCGGCTTCAGCCCTCCGACGTAACGGTCCACCCGCTCCGCTTAGTACATGTAGCCGACTTGCTCGCATAATGCGAGAAAACCACTCGTCTAGTCTTGAACCGATCCGAGCTGCCGCCAAGTACGCAGTCTCTAACGCGCCGAAATAGAAGCCGCGATTGGCTCAAAGTGCGTCCGAACCTCTGCGCACCACGCATCCCACGTGCTGTACTGGGCGGTCTCGCAGAACGAACTCCAGGTGACAGCTGGACCCGTGGGCCCTTCCTCTTGCGACGGTGGCTCGTAGGCGCGTGGCGACGTCACGATGACTCGCCACCATTCCATGGCGGGGCCCCTCAGCAGCGAAACGGCATATCGAATCTTCGTTGCGTCCGACTCGACGTAATTCGCGTCGAAGAAGACGTTCATCGCGAAGACCCACGATTGAACCGTCGGACCTCCACGTTGGCTTGGGTCGAAGCAGGGCGAGCATTGCGGCTTGAGTGGCATTGTTGCCATGATGGCCTGTTCGCCTCTTGTCGCCGCAATCTCCACGTGCCGACGGGCTTCACGAGGCTCCCGCGGGCTTGGTGCGACCCTGTTCCCTCTCATGCCAGGCATCGGCTGGGCGGCGCCATCACTGGCTGCGCCTGAGCGCTGTCCCACGCTGTCGTGTTATGTTGGTGTGCCGGACGAAAAGACGATCGGCTCGTCCGATTGTGCAGATCCATTTGTTGGTGCTTGTGGTGACGCGGGAGTGTTCACCGTTGATTGATGACGCGCAGAGTCACGTTCCGCCGTGAGCGTCGCAATTTCGAGCACCGAATCTTCAAGTTGGCGCACCAGACGGTCGAGCTGCTGCTGCGTCAATGTTGCGAGCGTGAATTCGGCCATGGCGGGGGTGTCGAGCGAGCTCAGCGAGAGCCTCTGTTGTGGCCGTGCGTGCTTACACGAGAGCACTACGAGCGGCGGTGCTGTGTCATTGAGAGACGTCTACCCCCCCCAAAAAATTGAGATAGTGAGGAAATGAAGGTGTGGGTGCGGTCCGAGAAGAGATCGTAGGCACTGAATACCAAGTGTTACGAGTGCAATTGAGTGAGCTAGCGAGAATTGCACCATCGAAGCAAAAATTACAATGAGCGAAGGTGTGAGCGAAGAATATATAGCGAAACTACAGTGGTAACGGCAATGGACTATGGTTGTCGCGCGACGGGCCTGGGACTGAGGTTTGGGAAAGTGTCGAAGCGGAAGCCCGCAGCGCGGGTTACCTGCCGAGCCGTGAGGTCGGGGTGCGACGTGCGGAGGTGGCGGGAGGATTGTCGATGCGAGAGTTGCGAGTGGTAACGGTGCTGACTGTGGTGCTACAGTGGTGTACGCGTTGAGCGGGGACGCGACTTAAGGAAAATTGATTTTCCTTACAATAGTAAAAAACAAATCATCGTGCTTATAAGTTGGAATATATGCACTTGTGCTAGATCTGGGGATGTGATTTTTAAGTTTACAATGTGAAATAACACCTAATATTATGATTTTCGGTTTTCCACCACCCATTTAAGTAAGATTACTATGTTCTTGAGTTTCTTTAAGTGCGGGATGGTAGACCTCAAAATCAAAGTAGTGTACTGAATCACACCCAACCAGCAACCGTCGCACCCCACACAACGCACTCGAATGTTTATCGACTCGTCTTATCTCGCGTGTACCTTGCTCTCACCACCACTAGGCAGATGTGCCCCTTTTCTCGCCATCGATGTGTCGTTGAAATATCACCACGCCACCTCAAATCTGGATCTGGAAAATACAGGCATTACCGTACACGACGGATATAGGAGGTCGCTCGTCTTGAATGGCTCTTGTACTGTACGCCCCCCCTTGACTCTACACGTCTCTGTACTTCCGTACCGTACTATCGACACACTGCATTGCTTGTCGTCGTCTCGTCCGCCTCGGCTCGGGCCTCGCTTCACCGCATGTTGTGTGTGCTCGCTCATCTTTCTCCCCCCTCCAGACCAGACCTTCCCCTTTCTCGCTCTCGTCTCACTTTCTCCATACATAAGAAAAGTACCGCTCCACTTATTCTCGGCCTGTGCTGGGAATGAGAGTTTAGATTTGCTTCACACATCATCTTTCCTCACCGTACGATGGCCGGTGCTTCTGGATCTGACGGTTCCGAGCAGCCCTCAACGGCAGCCGCATCGGGCGCCGTCGGCGCGGGAGGCGACTCGAAACCGCAACCCGTAAAGGCAGGCGGCGCGAAGCAGCTGACTCCGCAGGAGCGCGCGCGGCTCGCGGCGGCGCGGCGGCGTGCGCGGGACAGCAATGCGGGGCCGGGAAGTGCGGGGAAAAGCAAGCAGGGAGGTGAGAGCTCTCTAGAAGAATGCTTTTGACACGTCTCAAGAAAATGCTCGAAAAGACCGAAAGGATTCCAAAGAATCGACTCTTGTGTACTTAACGAAGCTCTAAGAATAGCTCTAGTGCGCGCCTTACGCCCACCGCGCCGCGTTCATTTCGCCCAAACCCGCCAAGACCGTGTCGCCTAGACCCGCCGGCTTCTTTTAGCCCAACCCGCCGCAGCTCATTCTTCCTCGCTTCCCTTCGAAGCCCTCCCCCCCGCCACTCTGCATCTTCCTGCCCCTTCTCGCATCGCGTCCGCCACGTTACCCCCGTTCCGACTGCCGTCGCGACGCCACTCCACTATCCCATAGTGCCGCTTGTATCGTCCGCGCCGCGCCACCCGCCTCTCTTTCGCCCCGCCCTCTCCCTTTCTCACATCTATCCTTGCTCTCCCTCTCTCCATCCCTCTCGTCCCTCCTCCAGTCGCCACGTCACTCTATTTCTCCGTGGTGGCTCTTATAATCGCCATCTGGGCCGTCTTTATTTTCCGCGCCATTCAAGCCCCGCCGCCGATCCCGCTCACCGACGCTGACGTCACCAGCCCTCGCGTCCGGCTCTCGGACGGCCGCCACGTGGCGTACCACGAGATGGGTGCGGCTGCTGACGTGGCCAAGTACCAGGTGCTGGTGGTGCACGCGTGGCAGACGTGCCGGCTCAGCATGCTGCCCAATATCACGCAGGTGCGATGACGTGTCCTGTTCCTGTGTCGTGACGTGTCATGATTGTGGGTCGTGACGTGTCAGGTACGACAGGGCGAGGTGCAGTTACACCCCTCTCCATCCCTCTCCACCCCTCCCAATCTCTTCCCACCCCAGGAGTTTCTAGAAGCCAACGGCATTCGTCTGGTGAGCTACGACCGGGCGGGGTACGGCCAGAGCGACCCCAACCCGGGGCGCACGCTGCAGAGCGACGTGCGGGACGCAGCCGAGGTGGCGACTCTAGTGGGGCTGGGGGAGAAGTTCTACCTCGTGGCCACGTCCATGGGGACTTACGTGGCGCTCGGCGCGCTGCGATACATCCCGCACCGGTGAGTGCTGGTGGGGAAAACCTGGGTTCATATGGGCAGAGCGACTTTTGAGACGTCTCAAAGGCAGAGCGACCCCCACCCGGGGCGCACGCTGCAGAATGACGTGCGGGATGCGGGGGAGGTGGCGACTCTAGTGGGGCTGGGGGAGAAGTTCTACCTCGTGGCCACCCCCATGGGGGCGCATGTGAACGCATGCGTCCATGGGGGCGCATGTGAACGCATGCGTCCATGGGGGCGCATGTGGCGCTGGGGTTCCGATACCTGCCACAGTGGTGAGTGCGGGGTGGGGATGAGCATACATACGCAATCCGGTGCCCTGACTACCATCAGGCGTGTGGGATATGGACGAGGATTAAGGTGACCACATTCAGGCTCATCTCATCTCACCTCATCTCACCTCATCTCACCTCATCTCACCTCATCTCACCTCATCTCGTCTCACCTCATCTCACCTCATCTCGTCTCATCTCATCTCATCTCATCTCATCTCATCTCATCTCATCTCATCTCATCTCATCTCATCTCATCTCATCTCATCTCATCTCACCTCATCTCACCTCATCTCACCTCATCTCACCTCATCTCGTCTCACCTCATCTCACCTCATCTCGTCTCATCTCATCTCATCTCATCTCATCTCATCTCATCTCATCTCATCTCATCTCATCTCATCTCATCTCATCTCACCTCATCTTACCTCATCTCACCTCATCTCGTCTCACCTCATCTCACCTCATCTCGTCTCATCTCATCTCATCTCATCTCATCTCATCTCATCTCATCTCATCGCATCTCATCTCATCTCATCTCATCTCATCGCATCTCATCGCATCTCATCTCACCTCATCTCACCTCATCTCACCTCGTCTCGTCTCGTCTCGTCTCGTCTCGTCTCGTCTCGTCTCGTCTCGTCTCGTCTCGTCTCGTCTCGTCTCGTCTCGTCTCGTCTCGTCTCGTCTCATCTCATCTCATCTCATCGCATCTCATCTCATCTCATCTCATCTCATCTCATCTCATCTCATCTCATCTCGTCTCACCTCATCTCATCTCATCTTATCTCCTCTCATCTCATCTCATCTCATCTCATCTCATCTCATCTCATCTCATCTCATCTCATCTCATCTCATCTCATCTCATCTCATCTCAGCTCGTCTCACCTCATCTCCTCTCACCTCATCTCGTCTCATCTCATCTCGTCTCACCTCATCTCCTCTCACCTCAACTCGTCTCATCACATCTCACCTCATGTCAAACCCTCTCTCTTCCCTGCCCTTCCTTCCTTCCCACTTCCAGGCTCAAGGGTCAAACAATAGTCATTGTGGTGGGGAATCCCTGGGTCTCCACGTGGCCTTAGCACGAGTTCAACTCAGCCTAAGGGAACGACACCCTCTGCTTCTCTCCACTCCTCCATCTTTCGTCGTTTCCGTTTCCCTTCTCACTGCCATGCCAGGCTCAAAGGCCTGACGATAATCAGCGTGGTGGGGAACCCCTGGGATCCCAGTGCCTCTTCTCTCCCCCAACCAGTGGAAAGGGTCCAGTTGTCCTCACTGCCATCCAACTGTCTCTTCTCTCCCCCAACCTCTCTTGGCCTCTCTTTCCTCCCCACCCTCCCTTTCTTCTTCCACTTCCAGCCTCAAGGGTCTGACGATAATCAGTGTGGTGGGCAACCCCTGGGACCCCACGTGGCCCAAGCACGAGTTCACAGCCACCTGGCAGCAGATGCCAGTGCAAGACCGCATCACGCTGCTGCTGGCGCGCCACGTACCTTCCCTGCTGCACGTGTGGTTCTCACAAACGGTGGTGCCGATGGGAAACTTCCGGCACCCTTTCCATCCGCACCCGGTTGAGCTGTATGAGTCGGACATGGCTGCCCTGGCCAGCACCGAGGTGTTTGGTTATTTCGCTCAGGTGAGTGTTGGGGTGCGAGTGAGGGAGTGAGCGAGTGTGAGTGCCCTCCCTGCTGCACGCCTGGTTCTCACAAACAGTGGTGCCGATGGGAAACTTCCGGCATCCCTTCCATCCGCACCCCGTGGATTTGTATGAGTCGGACATGGCTGCCCTTGGCAGCACCGAGGTGTTTGGTTATTTCGCCCAGGTGAGTGTGCGCAGTAAGTAAGTGTGCGATTATGAATATGGGAGTGCGAGTGCCCTCTCACTTCCGAGATCCCTTCCATTCTCATTATTTAGTCGGACATGGCTGCCCTTGCCAGCACTGATATGTTTGGGTACTTTGCACGGGTGAGTGTGCGCATTGTGTGTGTGTGTGTGTGTGTGTGTGTGTGTGTGTGTGTGTGTGTGTGTGTGTGTGTGTGCGTGCGCGCGTCAACTCTCGTTTCCCATTTCCCTCGTGATTCGACTAAATAATGCTCTCACTCTTACACCTCTGAGCACCCCCTCCTCTCCCCTCCCCCTCCCCCTTTCTCCCCTCCATCAGAACATGCAGGAGGGGGCAAGGCAAGGGGCAGGTGTGTCATGGTATCAGGATTTCGAGATCCTGGCTGCTGTTTGGGGCTTTAACCTCTCAGCACCCACCCCTACCCACGCTCTCCCTGCTTCCCCCTTCCCCTCTCCATCGTGCCTTTACAGAACATGCAGGAGGGGGCAAGGCAAGGAGCAGGCGCGTCATGGTATCGAGATTTCGAGATCCTCGCTTCTGACTGGGGCTTTAACCTCTCGGAGATCGACCTTTCTCAGACACGAGAGGAGGGAAAGAATGGGGGAGAAGATGGAGGGGAGGAGGGGGGGTTGAAGGGGAAGGTGCACATATGGCATGCGGAGGAGGACTGGGGGGCACGGGTGGGCTATGCGCGGCATGTGGGGCGGATGGTGGAGGGCAGTGTGCTGCATGTGGTGCCCAAGAGGGGCCATTTCTTCATGTACAACGATGCCCACATGCCCCCCACTGTGCTTCTGACCATGCTTGGGTTGGAAGGGAAGGTGAAGGCGGAGGATGTGGGAGTGAGTGAGGGTGTGACCGAGCGGGTGAGTGAGGGAGTGAGTGAGGAGCTGAAAAGTGAAGAGTGAGGTGTGGGAGGGAGCAGTTTCAGGACCCAAGCAGATACCCACCCCCGTGAGGTGCAGGGCATTCGTCGCGCACAATGAGCCGTGGTTGCTAGCGTAGCGGCCCTAGGTTGGGATGCCCTAGCTGTTGATGGTTTGAGAATGCTTTGGCTCAACTCCCCCTAGCTTGGGCTTTCACCTGGAATGGCCTGGCCTGGGCTGCTCTGTCTCAGATGCCCAGTGCCTGCAGTGCTGGTTTTGGAATGCTCATTCATGTACGGTATGCTCTTGTACGCAGTTACAGTACCTGCCCTTTAGTAGCTCTTGTACCTGCCTAGTAGCTACCGGTTGCTCACAGATGTATTTTGGCTTGGTTTTTAAGTTTTAAGTTTTATTAAATGGTCGTAACCATACATACAGTGTTGGAACAGTGAACGGGCTATATCCCGATACCTAGGAGGTATGCGCATACGACGCTAGACTGTTTTGCCTATGCAAACAGGTGAAGTTGTCAACTCCGCCAGTCCAACACTTTCCGAAGAGAGAATCTGTTCCTACGGGGGATGAAAATTTTCCCTTCTCAACCAGGTACTGTATGTCGCAGGTCTGGGTGGATGGATGGCATTCCCTGTGTATCAAAGTGGAGTAGTCGTTTCGTGGTCCCGTATTTGACTCGTGAAGCCGTGGCTCGTTGCTTCTTGACGGACTGCTTGCTTCGCCGAATGAAGAAGATTTTGCACGCCGTGAGGAATGTAGCAAGTATGGTGTGAAGTGATGTCACCGCTGATAATCTTGAGTTGTCGTAAATTTCGTTGCACCTCTTGCTCCAGAGAACTTTAGCCGCTGCTCCTACAAGCAAGCTCCATGGGGCACAGTTACCAGCAGGTGTTGCAATCGGGACTAGGGTCATTTCCGCCTGAATTGTTACTCCGAGGTGGTCTTTGGCGACACGTTGCACGCCGTGGTGATGTATTTTGGCTTGGTCAGATTTTACTCCAGTGTGCAGGGTTCAAGGTTCAGTGTGACCTGTCTGGTTTGGCACAGCGATTGATGGTTAGCAGTCAGTGCAGCACAGAACTAGCTGGGTAGCACAGGCAATGCTCCGGGCACTTGTTACAAAACTACTACGGTATGTACCATATGTAACATTTGCAACTATGTAATATTGCTGCTGTAACAGTTGCCACTATGTAACACAGAGGTCACCCATCTTAACCCATTTGTATGCTGAGCTGTCACACATCCGCTCCACCACCCCATGGGCTGCATCCAAGGCCCTCCTGATTGGCTGAAGCTTGCGCTCTGCTGCTGCTAACTGAGCCGGGTCTCTCACCTGGTGAAAAATAAAGCACGGAAAGATGGAGCATTGGGGAAGATGGTGAGGTGAAGATGGGGAACGGAGAAGATGGAGCATGGGATGCAGTGGCGGTGAGGGAATATGAGGCTGTGAGAGCGAGGAAACAATATCAAGAGGAGATGGTGAGGGAGGAGGTGGAGGAGGAGAGGAGCCACCAAGGAGAGTCCACAGAGCCTCCTTGCTCACAGAGCCAGGGCCTGACCCAATCACCCTGGGTCTTCTTTTAAGTTGGATCAAAAGCAAAGCCTGGGCCTGACCCAATTATTTTGGGTTTTTCCAGCCCAGCCAGGCAAGTACCAAGAAGCTTTCAGGCAAGTGCAGCGTACCTTGGCAAGTGCAGCGCACCTTGGCAAGTGCAGCGTACCTTGGCAAGTGCAGCGTACCTTGGCAAGTGCAGCGTACCTTGGCAAGTGCAGCGTACCTTGGCAAGTGCAGCGTACCTTGGCAAGGGTGCGTGTGACTGCGAGGGAGTGGCGGAGATAGCAGAGGCGGTGGTAGAGGTCTGCCTCGGATATCTGGGTAAAGAGGGGGGGAGAATGGGGAGAAGGGGAAGCGAGTAGAGGAGGGAAATCAGAAGAAGAGATAACTGTGGGAGAAGGGGAAGCGAGTAATGGGAGAAGCTGTGCATAGCCCTGGTTGCAAGGTAGGCTTGTGGTCTTGTGCGAGTCTCAATGCCTTGCTGTGTGTGTGTTGCATGTGTGTGTGTGCGTTGCATGTGTGTGTGTGTACCTGGCGTCGCATGGTGCCCTGGCAGCGAGGGTAGTTGGGGCAGAGGCCCCCTCTGCAGCTGTCAGAATGAACCAAGCGAGTGGCCATGTTCTGAGTCACACACCCACACGTCTCCTCATCGCACTGGTGTGTGGGGAGGGTGGGGGCAGCATAAGGGGAGTGTGAGAGGCTAAGAGACACACAAGCACGCATCTGAGGCTGTCTGAATGCACCAAGCGAGTGGCCATGTTCTGAGTCACACACCCACACGTCTCCTCATCGCACTGGTGTGTGGGGAGGGTGGGGGCAGCATAAGGGGAGTGTGAGAGGCTAAGAGACACACAAGCACGCATCTGAGGCTGTCTGAATGCACCAAGCGAGTGGCCATGTTCTGAGTCACACACCCACACGTCTCCTCATCGCACTGGTGTGTGGGGAGGGTGGGGGCAGTATAAGGGGAGTGTGAGAGGCTAAGAGACACACAAGCACGCATCTGAGGCTGTCTGAATGCACCAGGCGAGTGGCCATGTTCTGAGACACACACCCACACGTCTCCTCATCGCACAGGTGGGTGGGGAGAGCAGGGGGGGGGAGGGCGGTGAGACACTCGGGCACACAACTGCAGCTCTCAGAGTACACCAAGTGAGTGAGGGGCTGGGAAGAATCGAGAATGACTATCAATAAACAATCAGTAGTACCTGCATGTGTGCGTATCAAAATATTGCATTGTAACATTTTTTTTTCCCTCGAATGTATAGAACACAGGGGACTGTCTGTCAGTGTAGCCTACCTGCATCCATGCGTCGTAATACTGCGATATGAACGCCTCCGCCTGCCTCTTAACCTGCACCACAAATGCCAAGCCACAAAGGAAGAGTCAACACGTGACACCTTGGAGCACCACCAAAAACTTAATCTAAGTGCAGCACATTGCAGGTCGGGGAAACGAGTTCAGGTTTGGGGTATTGGGTGTTGAATTGAACTACACGTGAGGCTTAGGGTTCAGGGTCTATGAGCTTCGAGTCCAGAAGCCTTTTTTGAGGCGCCGAGTCAAGAAGCCTATTTTGAGGCGCCGAGTCAAGAAGCCTTTTTTGAGGCGCCGAGTCAAGAAGCCTATTTTGAGGCGCCGAGTCAAGAAGCCTTTTTTGAGGCGCCGAGTCAAGAAGCCTATTTTGAGGCGCCGAGTCAAGAAGCCTTTTTTGAGGCGCCGAGTCAAGAAGCCTTTTTTGAGGCGCCGAGTCAAGAAGCCTATTTTGAGGCGCCGAGTCAAGAAGCCTATTTTGAGGCGCCGAGTCAAGAAGCCTTTTTTGAGGCGCCTCGAAAACCGTCTACGAGCTTGGAGTCAAGAAGCCTTGAGTCGATTTACAGGCATCGCAACAGTGGCTTGGCATCGACCTCTGCGATTACCCACCTGGTTTGACAGCATGGCAGGCGACAGCGGCTTGGCATCCTTGCAGCGCGGACACGCCAGCGGCTGCACCTCCCTCTCCTCCTCTTTCCCCCCTTCTTCCTTCCCCTCCCCTGCATTTCCGTTTTCCCCCTCCCCTCTGCTGTCTCGGCTTCCTGCTGCTCCACCTGCTCTCTCCCCAGCCCTCTCCAGCACCTCTCGGTCTCTCCCCTGGGCGATGGCAGGCACGCCGGGGAAGGCGAAGGGGAAGCGGCACGAGGGGCAGAGGAACTGCAGCGGGGGGAGGCGCGCGTAGCTGCGATAGATAGGGAGGCAGGGGGAAGGGGTCGGGAGGGGGTGGATAAAAAAATGGGGGATAACAAGGGGAAAGGATGGCAAATTGTGGTTGAGCAAGCTAGGGAAACGTGAAGGCAAGCGAGACAGAGAAGCGTATGACATAGACAGCTTGACTTGACAAGGCAATACAGGAAAGCAAAAGGGACAGCAGACAGACCCATCTCTCACCGTCCATTCTGATAAGGTCCATGTCGCACCGTCCTATCATCATCAGACCCCACCTCTCACCGTCCTACATCATCAGACCCCATCTCTCACCGTTCATCATCATCCAGAATGGAGGAGGCTGCCAGCATGGCATCATCTCGCACCATTGATGCCGTCGCATGCACATGCCGGTACTGCACACAATGCAGGACGCAGGGTGTTACAGTGGGGGAAAAGAGGGGGGGGGGGGGGGGGGGGGGGTGGGAGATGGGTGGAAAAGGTGTTGTGAGGCATCTTACAGCACTTCTGAGTCGACTCAAAAGGTGTTGTGAGGCATCTTACAGCACTTCAGGTACTCCCTGTCCACGTCCCACTCGCTCTCTATCTCTCTGCCTCTCTGCCCTCTCTCAGTGTCCGTCTGTCTCTCTGCCTGCCTGTCCGTCCATACAATGCAAGGCACATTGAAGGCCATTGAGGCCGTACCTTGGAGGAGTCGAGGCCAAGGCAGTCGGCCAGGCGAGCGGCATCGGTGCCTTCAATGGGAGCACACAGCCGGGCCACCACGGGGTGCACCTGGTGTGCCAGGTAGTACTCCCTGTCCACGTCCCACTCGCTCTCTGCACTCCTCAACTCGTCCACATGCCGAGCTCTCTCCGCTATGCCACCCGCACCGCTGCTGCTGCGACCAGCAGGTGGTACTGCTGTGTCTGCTCCCTCACTTCCTGATTGCTGCAGGAGAATATTGGGGTGGAGGGAGCAGAGAGGAGTGACAGGGGGTGCAGAGAGGAGTGACAGGGGGTGCAGAGAGGAGTGACAGGGGGTGCAGAGAGGAGTGACAGGGGGTGCAGAGAGGAGTGACAGGGGGTGCAGAGTGCAGAGAGGAGTGACAGGGGGTGCAGAGAGGAGTGACAGGGGGTGCAGAGAGGAGTGACAGGGGGTGCAGAGAGGAGTGACAGGGGGTGCAGAGAGGAGTGACAGGGGGTGCAGAGAGGAGTGACAGGGGGTGCAGAGAGGAGTGACAGGGGGTGCAGAGAGGAGTGACAGGGGGTGCAGAGAGGAGTGACAGGGGGTGCAGAGAGGAGTGACAGGGGGTGCAGAGAGGAGTGACAGGGGGTGCAGAGAGGAGTGACAGGGGGTGCAGAGAGGAGTGACAGGGGGTGCAGAGAGGAGTGACAGGGGGTGCAGAGAGGAGTGACAGGGGGTGCAGAGAGGAGTGACAGGGGGTGCAGAGAGGAGTGTTTAAGGGGTGCACCTGGTGTGACAGGTAATGTTCCCTGTCGTCCCACTTGATCTCTATGCTCCTCAGCACGTCCACACGCCAACATGAGGATATCTCACTCAACCCACTACCACCGCACTGAACCCACATCACCGGACGGCACCTACCCGTGGGACGACAATGACATAGGGAATGGCGTCTCCAGCATTGCACCCCTCTGTGCGCCCCTCCGCAGCGCCACCTGCACGTGCGGCTGCAAGCTCACATGACGTTACCCTACTCAACCCTCCACCACCGCACTGAACCTTATGCCAACCCACCCCACAGCACCTACCCGTGGCACGGCAATGACGTAGGGAATGGCGTCTCCCGCGTTGCACCCCTCGGTGCGCCCCTCCCTCTTCCTCCTCAGCGCCACCTGCACGTGCGGCTGCGAGTTGGCGTCGGGGTAGTCACCGGGCGGCTTGGTGAGCGTCTTGGTGATCACGAACGATGTCAGATCTACCTCCCCTGCTCGTAACCTGGCAGCCAACTGGTGTGAGGGGAAGAATGAGAAGGGGGGGAAGAGAAGGAGGGCGAAGAGGGACATGGGGGTAACTTAACTCAGTGGACAGCTTGTGAGTGGGTGGCAAACTAGAACTGCTCGTAACATGCTGCGCGGGTGAGTGAGTGAGTGAGCGAGCGTGGGCGTGAGTGCGTTAGTGAGGGAGCGCGAGCATGAGTGAGTGAGAGAGAGTGTGTGTGTGAATGTGTGACCCCAGTTTACACTCACGTTGCGCAGCTCATTGTGAATCGACTCCACCACCTCCTCCCGCGGCCTGCACTCACATCACACAACACAAGCAGGGAGAGGTGGGAATAAATGAGGGGATGGGGAGAGGGAGCCTCCTGTGAGGGGGCCATTTTGGTGCGCCAAGAGACGCCACACCAACATACACACACACACACCGGCTCTACCCACCTGCGAGACAGAATTTGCGTGGCGTGCACTATGGGGGCGTTCCCTCCCGGGCCACCTGAGAATGAACCACATGGTCGCACGCAGGGCTACCTGGTGCAGGCTGCACGTACCTGCCAGACAGAATCTCCTTCAAGCAAAACCCGCCGATCTCCTTGGACAGCACGCTCCAGTCCCTGCGAACGATGTCCAGCCCCTTGTGCTCCTGCCACCTCTCGCAACACCTTGTGCTCCTGCCACCTCTCGCAACACCTTGTGCTCCTGCCACCTCTCGCAACACCTTGTGCTCCTGCCACCTCTCGCAACACCTTGTGCTCCTGCCACCTCTCGCAACACCTTGTGCTCCTCCCACCTCTCGCAACACCTTGTGCTCCTGCCACCTCTCGCAACACCTTGTGCTCCTGCCACCTCTCGCAACACCTTGTGCTCCTGCCACCTCTCGCAACACCTTGTGCTCCTGCCACCTCTCGCAACACCTTGTGCTCCTGCCACCTCTCGCAACACCTTGTGCTCCTGCCACCTCTCACAACACCTTGTGCTCCTGCCACCTCTCGCAACACCTTGGCTGCGTGGGTGTTAGATCCACTCCCACCTGAACCCACACCCTCGCCCTCTCTCACCTGCCGGACAGTATCTGCTTCAGACAAAATCCGCCAATCTCCTTAGACAGCACGCTCCAGTCGCGCCGAACAATGTCCAGCCCCTTGTGCTCCGAAACCTCTCGCAGCACTTTGGGGGGCTCGCTGGATCCCAGCACCAGCTTGACGGAGGCGTACTTCTTCTTGTTGAGCAGCAGCATGCTGCGGAACAGCCCGTCCATCTCGATTTCCAAGAGTTTATACCGCTTGTTCACCTGCCAGGGAGGGAGGCGAGGGAAGGGGAGATGGGAGAGAAGGCAGCGTCTCGCAGAGCACGTCGCCTCAACCGCAGGTTTGAAGTCCCTCGTCGACGGTGCTGACCCTGGGGCTCGCCGGGTCCCAGCCCAGGATCAGCAGCCTGACAGAGGCGTACTTCTTGATCAGCAGCCTGACAGAGGCGTACTTCTTGTTCAGCAGCCTGACAGAGGCGTACTTCTTGATCAGCAGCCTGACAGAGGCGTACTTCTTGTTCAGCAGCCTGACAGAGGCGTACTTCTTGTTCAGCAGCCTGACAGAGGCGTACTTCTTGTTCAGCAGCCTGACAGAGGCGTACTTCTTGTTCAGCAGCCTGACAGAGGCGTACTTCTTGTTCAGCAGCCTGACAGAGGCGTACTTCTTGTTCAGCAGCCTGACAGAGGCGTACTTCTTGATCAGCAGCCTGACAGAGGCGTACTTCTTGTTCAGCAGCCTGACAGAGGCGTACTTCTTGATCAGCAGCCTGATAGAGGCGTACTTCTTGTTCAGCAGCCTGACAGAGGCGTACTTCTTGTTCAGCAGCCTGACAGAGGCGTACTTCTTGATCAGCAGCCTAACAGAGGCGTACTTCTTGTTCAGCAGCCTGACAGAGGCGTACTTCTTGATCAGCAGCCTGACAGAGGCGTACTTCTTGATCAGCAGCCTGACAGAGGCGTACTTCTTGATCAGCAGCCTGACAGAGGCGTACTTCTTGTTCAGCAGCCTGACAGAGGCGTACTTCTTGTTCAGCAGCCTGACAGAGGCGTACTTCTTGTTCAGCAGCCTGACAGAGGCGTACTTCTTGTTCAGCAGCCTGACAGAGGCGTACTTCTTGTTCAGCAGCCTGACAGAGGCGTACTTCTTGATCAGCAGCCTGACAGAGGCGTACTTCTTGTTCAGCAGCCTGACAGAGGCGTACTTCTTGTTCAGCAGCCTGACAGAGCCGTACTTCTTGTTCAGCAGCCTGACAGAGGCGTACTTCTTGTTCAGCAGCCTGACAGAGGCGTACTTCTTGTTCAGCAGCCTGACAGAGGCGTACTTCTTGTTCAGCAGCCTGACAGAGGCGTACTTCTTGTTCAGCAGCCTGACAGAGGCGTACTTCTTGTTCAGCAGACTGACAGAGGCGTACTTCTTGTTCAGCAGCAGCATGCTGCGGAATAGCCCGTCCATCTCAATCTCCTCCATCCTCACCTCTTTCTTCACGCGGTGGGCGATGGCAATGGCCTGGCTGGGGTTGTACAGTCCACTTCCGAAGCACCTCCCCACCCAACCCTCTTCCTCTCCTCCCTCCTCACCTCCTTCTTGACGCGGTGGGCGATGGCAATGGCTTGACTGGGGTCATCCAGCCCCGTGTTGATTATGATGGAGTCCGTGTCGCCGTATATCGCATCTCCTCCCTCCCCACCTCTCATACCCCCTCCCCATCTTTCCTGTCCCCTTCTCCTCACCTCCTTCTTGACGCGGTGGGCGATGGCAATGGCCTGACTGGGGTCGTCCAGCCCCGTGTTGATCATGATGGAGTCCGTGTCGCCGTATATCACCTCCAGGTTCAGGTTGTTCTGCACCAGATCCACCGTGCTCTGCAGGATGTCCCGACCCTGCAGGAGCGGGTGTCAGCAACGATAAATAGGGCGGCAGCACAGTTGAGTCGATCACGATGGAGTCGGTGTCTCCATAAACCACCTCCAGGTTCAGATTGTTCTGCACCTGATCCAAGTGCTCTGAAGGATGTCTCGACCCTGAGAGGGAGTGGTAAAGAAGGAAGGGGGAGAGACAAGCAGCAAGAGCAGGGGCAGGTGAGGTGGGTCAAGATGGAGTCAGAGTCGCCAAGAAACACCTTTGGATTCAAATTGCTCTGCTCTGAAGAATGTCGCGACCCTGGTGGTAGGTGGGAGGCCAGGGAAAAGATTTAGCAAGCGTGAGGAACGACATACCATCATGACACGTCTGGAAACTCAGCAGCACGTCACAACAACCTTGGCGCATTGCGAGAGTTGCACCACACAACGCTTACAGAACAGAGAATAGCATGAGTTCGGAACGACCGGGATGGGATGGGGAGGTGTACCCTTGAGGTGATGAGTTCAGCGAGGGGCTTGGCGAAGAAGCGAGAGTTGGAGAATCCCAGGCAGCCATACATGCTGCACAGAGGGAGGGTAGGGGTTGTGGGGAAAAGGTAAGTGGAGGGGTTGCGGGGAAAAGGTGAGGGAAGGGGTGCAAAGGGGGTGTTGAGGAGAGCATGAGGACTTGAAGGGTATTGACCTTAAAAAAAAAAGAGCAAAGGTGTGAAGGGTGAAAACGACAAGAGGGAGTGGCAAACATAAGCATGTTGCAAATGAAGCATTCCAGCACCAAGTGCTGTTTCAATCACCAATCATACCTGTTGGCAGTGAGCTTGAGCGCCTGTTGTCGGATCTCCAGGCGCTGCCTCTCATCCGGGTCGTTCTCCCTCTTGAGTAGATCCTTCACCTGCCGCCTCCTCTGCACCAACATGCCCAGCACCTTCCAGCACCACGCGCGACCATACATACCGAACGAAGAAAACATATAAAAAGTTATGAATCTCCTCATGCCGTGGCATGTCCCTAGCAAAGCTTTGATTCATTTCCATAGTATGGAGTGGTGTGGTGTAGCACCCCAGGAGGATCAGGATCAGGTAGCTGCGGCAGCGAGGAGGCATCCGGGCAGGCAACGGTGGTGAAGCAGATGTTGTAGTCGCGGATGATGGACGGATACACGCTCTTGCTCCAAGTCCGGCAGCACCCATCTGTGCCTGCCCCCCTCAAAAACCACCTGGAACAGCAGCACGTTGCGTACCTCTGACAGCGCAAGTGCGTACCTCTGACAGCGCAAGTGCGTACCTCTGACAGTGCAAGTGCGTACCTCTGACAGCGCAAGTGCGTACCTCTGACAGCGCAAGTGCGTACCTCTGACAGCGCAAGTGCGTACCTCTGAAAGCGCAAGTGCGTACCTCTGACAGCGCAAGTGCGTACCTCTGACAGCGCAAGTGCGTACCTCTGACAGCGCAAGTGCGTACCTCTGACAGCGCAAGTGCGTACCTCTGACAGCGCAAGTGCGTACCTCTGACAGCGCAAGTGCGTACCTCTGACAGCGCAAGTGCGTACCTCTGACAGCGCAAGTGCGTACCTCTGACAGCGCAAGTGCGTACCTCTGACAGCGCAAGTGCGTACCTCTGACAGCGCAAGTGCGTACCTCTGACAGCGCAAGTGCGTACCTCTGACAGCGCAAGTGCGTACCTCTGACAGCGCAAGTGCGTACCTCTGACAGCGCAAGTGCGTACCTCTGACAGCGCAAGTGTGTACCTCTGACAGCGCAAGTGCGTACCTCTGACAGCGCAAGTGCGTACCTCTGACAGCGCAAGTGCGTACCTCTGACAGCGCAAGTGCATACCTCTGACAGCGCAAGTGCGTACCTCTGACAGCGCAAGTGCGTACCTCTGACAGCGCAAGTGCGTACCTCTGACAGCGCAAATGCGTACCTCTGACAGCGCAAGTGCGTACCTCTGACAGCCCAAGTGCGTACCTCTGACAGCGCAAGTGCGTACCTCTGACAGCGCAAGTGCATACCTCTGACAGCGCAAGTGCGTACCTCTGGGAGCACCCCAGGGGGGTCGGGGTCGGGCAATTGCGGGAGAGACGCAGGGTCCTCCGGGCAAGCGACGGTGGTGAAGCAGATGTTGTATTCGCGGATGATGGATGGATACAGGCTATTGAAGTCCAGCAGCGCCACTATCTTGTCATACAGCCCCCTCTTTGGCTCCAGCACCAACCCCCCCGCGTACCCCGGACCCTTCTTCCCCTCACCCCCTCCTCCGCCTCGTCCTCCCTTCTTCCCCCTGGCTCCTCCTGCTCCTCCCTCGGCGCCCTCAAGAGTATTCTCATCATCCCCCTCTTCTTCCTCTCCCCCTTCCACCCCCCGGGTCACTGTAATATCCTCTCCTGCCCCTCCTGCCCCTGCTGCATTTTCTTGCTTCTCCCCTCCCGCTCCTTTGCGTTTCTTTTTCTTGCCCGAGGCTGTAGCAGCGGCCGATGAGATGGCAGCTTCTTTTTCTTTTGTGGTCAGCTTGTCGGGCAGCATGAATTTCCGGCGGTGGAATTCGTGCAGCAGGAGGTACTCGATTCGCTGGGCCCGGGATCCCTGAAAACAACGGGCAGCAGAAGAAAAAAACAATTACAATCACTATCACTATCAAGCTATCTAACAATGACAAGTTAATGAAGCGTCCTATAAGGAGCCGATGGGAAAAGGAACAACTTACTCCTATCCAGCACGAGAACCCAGGCTTTTGAGTCGACTCAAAAGTCGCCAGGCTCCTCTGTTTCACCCCATTGAACAGCAAAGGTGTGCCCACCTGCAGTGTGCGGTTCCAAAGGTTGCCGCTGAGGTTGGTGAGCTGGCGGGAGAGTGGCAGCACGGAGAGTTGGAACATGAGCGTGAGGGCCAGCCATGCGTCTGTTTCCACCAGCCCCACCTGCAGGATGGAGGGGGGGGGTGTGGGGGGGAGGGAGGGAGAGGGGAGTGAGGGAGGGAGAGGAGAAAGAGGGAGAGCAAGAGCAGCAGTGGCAGCATAGAGAGTTAGAACACGAGGGTGAGGGCCAGCCATGAGGGTGAGGGCCAGCCATGAGGGTGAGGGCCAGCCATGAGGGTGAGGGCCAGCCATGCGTCTCCGTCTCTACCAACTCACCAGCTTCATCAGGGATTCGCTGCTGCCATACATGCCCGGCACCTCAGCCGCAGCCACCTCTCTCCGCGTCTGCCCCAGCTGACTTGCCGCCAGCGCCGACAGCGAGTGGCTCACTTCCTTCGGCAGTATCTCTCGAGACGAAACGCTCGTGTCGATCAGTAGCCGCCCGGCCACAGCTGACAGCAGGCCCGGCGCCGCCCCTCCGCCGCCCCAGTTGCTGCCAGGGCCGCCCCCTAGCTTGGGCATCTGGGTGCGCTTGAGCCGACCAATCGCCGACCAGTTGCCCACACGACAGGCCTGGAGCGAAGGGATGTAGCAGGATAGCAAACAGTGTTACATGGTTACCAGGATACATACAACCCATTATGCATGGGGATGGAGTGAGCATGGGCTGGGCAAACTCAGAAATTCATCTACCAGGTTACTCTCACCTGGAAAATCACCTGAGCCCCACCTGAAAAAACACCTGAGAGCCCACCTGCATGCGCTGCAGCAGCACAGTGAGATCGAACGCTGCCAGTCCGTGTCCTATGATGACGTCAGCATCCAGCCTTCCCATTCGGGCCAGGAGATAGCTCAGCAGCTCCCTCTCGCTGTAGTCACATGGTGGACACAATGAACAGAGGAAGTGGGGGGGTGGTGGATTACACACATGGAGAAGGCTGTGTGATAGTGGCAGCAAATATGAGCTGTATGCAAGTGTATGGGATGAACGCAGATTGGATCTGCCGCTGTTGACAACCACGATTATCTCACTCACTCTCATTCACGCTCACACCCACTCACCTGCCCTTCTTGCTCAGCACTGGCCCGTCCCGCCCCGCCCTCTGATTGGCTGCAGCGATGGCAGAATCGAATCCCACGGGGGACATCACCCCCTCCAGCCGCCTCAGCACTGAGAAGTGTCCAAGCGACGCCGCCCCACTCCACTCACTGCGCGCCATTGGTCGATCAATCTGATGAGGGAGGGCGGGCAGGGAGAAAGGAGAGTTATGGGGGTGGAGGAGAAAAGAAGTCAGGAGGTCAGACCACAGGTTCACAGAACAAACCACATGCCAAACTGCTCCCCATTACACTGCACCGCACTGTACAACACAGGACCGCTCTCACTTCTGGCTGACCTTGGCGTTCCAGCAGAATACCACAGATACAGCAGCCACCTCCTTCACATTCTTTCCACGGTTCACCACCGTCTTCACATTCAGCGACGCCACCACCACCCTTACCAGTGCACTGTTTAGCACCACTTGGTACCGCACAGAACCACTCTCACTACCACTAACCTTGGCATTTTGGCAGAAGACCACGGAGACAGCAGCCACCTCGTTGACATTCTTGCCATCATAAATTGACCACCGTCTTCACGCTCAGTGACGCCACCACCAGTGTCCTTAAAGTGCACCACTTAGCACCGCACATCCCTACTTTACACCACTTGGCACCGCACACCACTCCCTTCACTGACCTTTGCATTGCGGCAGAACACCACGGAGACAGCAGCGACCTCATTGACGTTCTTCCCATGGTTGACCACCGTCTTCACGTTCAGCGACGCCACCACCAACCTTACCAGTGCACTGTTTAGCACCACTTAGCACCACTTGGTACCGCACAGAACCACTCTCACTACCACTAACCTTGGCATTTCGGCAGAAGACCACGGAGACAGCAGCAACCTCGTTGACGTTCTTCCCATGGTTCACCACCGTCTTCACGTTCAGTGACGCCACCACCAGGGGCGGAGGGTCGTTCTCTGCTGCTGCTGGCGCCACCAGCTTGGGCGATGCCACTGACACCTCCACCCTGCAGTGGCTCCTCTGGTGGGAGTCAGCGGAGGGATAAGTGTGGGAAGGGACGGGGGGTTGTAAGCGGGAGGAAGGAAAGACGCCACCACCAGGGGCGTAGGGTCGCTCTCTGCTGCTGCTGGCGATACCAGCTTGGGAGATCCCACTGATACCTCCACCCTGCAGTGGCTCCTCTGGTGGGGATGAATGGGGGAGAAGTGTGGGGGGTGGGGTTGGGCTGTGGGCTCAGGGGAAGGGGATAAAAAGATGCCACCACTAGCGGCGGAGGGTCGCTGTCTGCTGCTGCTGGCGCCACCATCTTGGGAGATGCCACTGACACCTCCACCCTGCAGTGGCTCCTCTGGTGGGGATGAATGGCGGGGGAGGGGGGATATGTGGAGGAGTTACAGTCAGAAGGGTGAAGCGTCTGCTCTCTGCTGCTGCTGGAGCCACCAGCTTGGGTGATGCCACTGACACCTCCACCCTGCAGTGGCTCCTCTGGTGAAGGTAAGGCACTCCTTTTAACCGCTGTGTGGGAAACTCTTTTACAGAGGCAGGCAACGATAGGCTATTCCGATTTGACTTTTGAGTCAACTCAAAAGTCAACTCTTTTACAGAGGCAGGCAACGATGGGCTATTCCGATTTGACTTTTGGTCGACTCAGAAGTCAACTCTTTTACAGAGGCAGGCAACGATGGGCTATTCCGTTTTGAACGTACACGTGTATTGGGATGATTCACGGACCTGGGAGCCAGGGTGAATGCGGGTGGGGCGATCGATGGCCAACCAGCAGGGGCACTTGAGGCGCCGCTTCAGCAGCAGCAGCTCCAGCGCACTGCCAGGGTGGGGTGCGGTGGGGTGGAGTGGAGTGAGTTGGGGTGGAATGCGGTTGAGTATCTAGAGCACTGTGAGTGGTATTGGTGGGATGGGGCTGGGCTGGAGCTGAGAATCCATTGTTCTCCTCGCATTGTCTCTGATACAGCCTTCCTAGCAGTACATTTCGCCCCTGTCCATTTAGCAGCACGTTTTGCTTTTTGAGTCGATTCAAGGGTCATCTCTGTCCAGTCCAGTGTGTACAAGCAACGCAGGAACAAGTTATGTCGCCTGACGATGCAACCAGTCAATACAGCCCTCTAGTCTCACCTGGTGTGTGCGCCTAGCAGAGCACTGAAGTGATAAGTCGATTTTTGAGTCGACTCAAAAATCGACTTATCACACATGATGCAACCCGTCAATACAGCCCTCTAGTCTCACCTGGTGTGGGTGCCCAGCAGAGCACTGAAGTGCGTGCCTGTGAGGTCGGAAGGCAGAGGGGCATCCTGCAGTTGTCAACAGAGACGCAGTGAGGGATGGTATGAGAGGCGCAGTGAGAGGTGGTGAGAGGTGCAGTAAGGGGCGAGATGCAATGAGAGAAACAGCCAACAGCCACAGCTTTTGAGTCGACTCAAAAGCAGATGCAATGAGAGAAACAGCCAACAGCCACAGCATCCAGGTACTGTGTCATGGTAGAGAGAAAGGAAAACCGGAAGACAATCAATCAGTCGTCATGGCACTTGCAAGCTTACCGAGTAAGGGTATGTGATCTTGAGCACATACTGCTCGCCTCGTGGGATATCCTTCCTCTCAAACGCATATGAACGCTGCGTGCGACAAGGAGAGGCAATGACACAGCAGAGAGGCAAACAGGCAGGGGGAGGGCGCAGGAGCACAGGATGAGCACATGAGCACAGTACGAAGAGACTCTCATACGAATCCAAGCAAACATAATGAGCCGATTCAAGAGATTTTCACGTCCATGCAGTGAATTGCTGCTAGTGAGGACCCTGGGGCAGTCAGCAGGTGACCCACCTTGACAGGCATCATGCAGAAGGAGGACACGTGGCGCTCCATGAGTCGCTGGCGAATCTCCTCCTTAAGAGGCGTAGCTAGCTCCTGTGGTAACCAGGGGGTAGGGGGGGATGGGGAAGTGCGGAAGTGGGAAAGTGGGGTGGTGGGGGGGGGGAAGGGGATGTGATGCGATGGGGGAGACGGGAAATTGGGGAGATGGGGGGTATGGGGAGGTGGGAAAGAGTGGGAAGACGAGCAATAAGGGCTAGCAAGGCATTCACTATCCCCATGTGAGTAAACATCGTATCCTCAAGCCTTGGACCCCCCAAAATTCCATTCCCTGAACCCCATCCCAAACCTTGTCCGTAAGCACCCTTCCCCAATCTCAATCCCACGCATCCCTCTCATGCAACTCACATGCAGCTTGCGCATCTTCTTGAGCCGCGCAGCCTTCACTCTCTCCGACTCCTCCTCGCCCTTACCCCCACCACGACCCTTGACCCCACCGCCTTTGCCCTTCCCAACCCCCGCTTTCCCCGCGTCCTCCTCCCGGGCCTGCTGCTCTTCCGCCTCCAGCACGGCCAGCTGGGAGTCCTCAAACAGCCCCTCGCGAGGCACGGCGAACACGCACCGCTGCATGCCCTGCACGCCCACGCAGCAGCTCACGAACGACCCGCTGCTGCTGGGATTGCTGGTGCCGCTGGCATGCTTTACAGGGACCTGCTTGGGGGTGAGTTAGGAGGTGGGAGAGCAAAAGGTCATGAGATTCTGCCACTAGGAGGGCACGGCGAACACGCACCGCTGCACGCCCTGCACGCCACACAGCAGCTCACGTACGGCTCGCCTACCTCTTCCCAAGCATCCCCTTTCTACTCTCCCCCAGACCCCCTCTCACCTTGCCAAACAGGAACACCGTGCCCTGAAGCGCACCATAAGGCTCCTCCACCGCGTCTAGGAAGAAGAACGGAAGCTTCCCATCCGCATCCAGCGGAAGCCCCTCCACGCTCACAGGCGCATCTGACCCTGCGACAGCCGCACTTCCTGCTACAGCCGTTTGCCCTGCTACTGCCGTCCAAGCCGCAGACGCGTTCTCCTCCTGAGCCAGCGCCCCGAGCCTAGCATGCAGCTTCGGCGCCTGGCCCGCCTCGGCGGAATCTGGTTTGGCCGACTGCCCTCCCTCTACCGCACCATTCCCAGCTGCAACCCCTTCGCCTGCCGCTGCTGCTGGTACTTTCTCCTCTCCAGACTCTGCTTTAACGCCTGTCTTCGTACCAGCTCCACCACCAGTTATCCGGGCGGTACTATTGGGTTCTGCGTTAGCACTAGGTGACTCGGAACCCGTACCTGCTCCTCCACCAGCAGCACCGGCATTCAACCCTTGGTGCTCACGTGCCGCAGCGGCAGGGGTCATGTCGGGAAAGGGTGAATCGTCGGCAAACGGCGGCGCCTGCGGTGGCGGCTGTTGTCGGCCGGCAGAAACGACCGGCTCGTTTGACGGCGTGACGACAGGTGCGTCATGGAAATCGTCTGGGTAGACTGGTGGCTTCGCGTGCTGTGCGAGTGGCCGCCACGCGGAGGGCGTAACGGTCACCGCCACGCCGCCGCCTGACGAACGCGAATGGAAAGGCAAGTGAACCAGGGGGGTAAGGGGAAGGGACGGAAGGATGGCGGGATGAGTCGGAGGTGACAAGGAACGCGGAGTGATGGTGAAGGACAAGGAGCACGATTCATATGTTCGGGGAACTTACGTGCTATAAGCTTACTACGCTAATAACTTATCCACACTCAACCGCAATAAGCCATGCACTCGAGCAACACGAGCAGAGGAACCCACGGAGAAGCCACGCCCACGTCGAGCCGAACCAACAAGCTCAACCGGACCGTACCTCTCCGTCTTCTCTTGTCTGGCAAGCGCTCGTGCGCGTCAGCACCGATGTCGTTAATCAGCTCCTCCAGCAGCGCCTCCGCCGCTTGCGCCTCGCCGGCCGGCAGTGCCGAAGCCTGCCGGCCGCCGGCGCGCGCGCCGGCAGCGGCAAACATATTGGAGGCGCCACGGCGCTTCCCCATCATCGCGGCGGCGGCGGAAAGCGCCTTCCGCGCGGCGACGCCATCCCGGCGCGGCCTGGGCCCTAACGTGGGAAGCGGGAAAAAGGGGGCCAGGAAGGGAGAGATGAAGGGGGCAATAAGACGGACATCAAGGGAGAATATAAGGCAGACACTGAGGGAGACATGAAGTGAGACACAACGGGACGTTCTTTCACGAGCACGGGGGGGTAGAGCATACAATAGAGACAGCGGACAGTGACGTTCCGCATCCGAACGCACCTAGTCAGCAAAGCTGGCAACCAAGCACGGCCAGAAATAAAAAACTTTGGAGTCGGCTCACGAGTCACCAACGACCAAACACGGTGAGTTACAAAAGAACCGACCCCAAATAAATAGGACAACGAAGGTTCGACAAAATTACTAACCTGCAGGCTTCTTCTCTTTCTTCTTCCGTCTGCCGCCGTCCTCGTCCTCATCCCACGAGTCGTCGTCGTCGTCGCGTCGGTCCCACACGTCCTCCAGGCCCGTGTCCGCATACCCCAGCCCGTTGTCGTCCACCACGAAGTTCTCGCCCGCCGCGCGACGCTGTGCGACGATTTTCTGGTACTCCGACTCGTCGACGACGTCGTACAGGCGATCTTCCTCCTTCAGCTCGAACGTGTCGATCCGTCGCTTGCGTCGCACTGCCTGGTCCCCCTGATCGCCGGCATCGTCGCTGGCGACAGGAGGAGGAGCGAAATCGGACTGGCGGCTAGCGCGGTGCGCAGCGAGCTCCGCAAGCGCGCTCTTGCGGGAGGCGGAAGCGGAGTCGACAGCTCTACGCGACCTGGTTGCCCTTTCCATGGCGACCAGCTAACAAAACTGGACTAAGACACTGAAATGGACGTTCCGCTTAGAGTTACACTATAATCGCGTGCAAACGCTTAGAGTTACACTATAATCGCGACGCGTTGCAACTCATGGAATGAAGTTCTAACTAGAATGACAAGTTTCATCTAGAATATTGCCTAACTGCAACGTTGACTCGTCTCCTCCAGCATCTTACACCAAGAAACTACAGGTTTCAGCACACGGCACTGGTATTGACGAACACTGGAATGGGCCACAGCGGAAGAAAGAGGCTTCTCGTTGAAGATGAATTGAATGGGGATGGAAAAAATCCACGTCACCGCGCCGCTGCCCCGGCCCGACCGCCAACCTTGGAAAACGCGGGAAGACAGACCCTGAACGGCCTGTTTGAACATTCAAACTTCAAAGTTCCTAACTTTGAACTTTTTAACATTACGGTAAACGTAATGTGAACCACTTACCAGGAGCATTTGGCCGAGTGGTTAAGGCGTGTGCCTGCTAAGTACATGGGTTCTGCCCGCGAGAGTTCGAATCTCTCAGTGCTCGACAGTTTTAATTCTTTGCGTGGGTCCATTTTGCACTTTTCAAGCCAAAGCATACCATTGACGACTGTATAATATATTTCCAGTACAAGTGTACTTCCGACAAAGCAGCTCTTCTTTTTACATCCAACTCAAAATGTCTAAATCTCTGAAAACAGCAGTGGCATGCCATGTTTCGCTTGTGCTGTGAGAGCAGCAGTAGGCTGATGCTGATACGAAGGAGATATGCTCCATGAGGCGTTAAGGAGCAGGTGGGATAGAATAATCTTAGCCTCAATAAGTCCGAACATGGCTCCAACACAATCCCGTGGACCACTGGAGAAAGGGATGAAGGCCTGCGGGTGTGAGCAGGCTGCTTGCTGTCCATCTGTGAGTTGGGTGCATGAAGAAAATGGGGGAGAACGCCATAAAAACAAACTTCTGAGTTCAACTGATGAAATGCGGGTGGAACAGTGCATGTGCAGAGAAGGAATGGAAGAATACTAGAAGCAGGCTCAGCCTCCAAGACAGCTAAGGGTCTCCACCTGCTCCTCCACACTAGGCTTCCTGAGAAAGGAACGGATTGCTCTCTGTCTCACCTTGGAACCTCTCGGGCTTGAATTCGCGTGCGTCGGCCCCCCAGTAGCGCTCGTCAGCGTGCAAGCACCCGACAGGCAGAAACAGGTCGACGCCCTTGGGAATGACGTAGGGGCCAATGCGCACGTCCTGCTTGCTCGTGCGCGTGACGACGGGCACGGGCGGGAAGAGGCGAAGAGTTTCCAGCAGCACCATGTGCATGTCCTTCAGCTGCCCCGCCTGCTCCCATGTGACCTCCACTCTGTTAGCTTCCTTTGGTCGTGCCTCCGCTTCTCTTGTGCCTGCTACTCGTGCCTCTGCTGCTTGTGTGTGTGCTGCCGGACCTGCGTTGTCGTGAACAGAACCGTGTCTCGCTCTGGCTGTGCTGTCGCTGCTGCTGGCGTCACTCTCACTGTCACTGTCCGTGCCATCCCCACTGCTGCCGCCACCACTACTGCTGTCACCGCTGTCGCTGCTACTGCTGCTCTCTGCTCCATCATCCTGCACAGACTCGTCCTCCTTCTCAGTTTTCTCGTTCACCTTAACTGTGCCCGCCTCCCTCTCTTCCCTTCCTCCTCCGCCCCCCACCACGCGCACCACCTCAGATCGGAGCCGCTGCTGCCAGTGCGGGTGGCGGGCCAGCAGGTACATGCTCCACATCACCAGCACCGCCACTGACTCGTGTCCTGGGGGATGGAGAGGGGGAGAGTAAGGTGCAATGCTGTGAGGTGCGATGAGGTGCCAACACTGCCACTGACTCGTGGCCTGGCCGGGGGTGGGGAAAGGGAAAGGGAAATACAGCAGCATGGGTTACTCATTCCGTGCATCGAGGACCCACCAGCCATGATGAGTGTCGCACACTGGTTGACAACCCTGTTCACCAGCGCAGCCGACAGCACGCCACCACCAGCACCGGCAGTTGCACCAGCAGTGGCAACACCACCGCCAGCAGCAGCAGCAGCAGCAGCAGCAGCAGCGAGTGTCTCCTCCTCGCGCCTCATCTCCGCCGCCAGCAGCGCCGCCAGAATGTCCTTCCCCAGCCGCCCCTGCGCGCCCCCATGCGCCCTGCGAGCGATCAGCTCCCCAAACAGCTGGCGGAACCGCTGCTCCACCGCCCACAGCGTGCGGTTCTCAGGCGTGGGGAGGAGTCTGAATGGTTAGAGGGCGCGGAGAAGACGGGGGCGGGGGTTAGGAGAAAGGGTTTCGTCACTTTGTTCTTTAGAGGCGCCTCAAAAGGGTTCTCGAGCATAGGGAGCGGGGGGGGGGGGGGGGGGGCGGTCAAAGGGAAAGAATGCAGGCGGTGTGAGATGGAACGGGAAAGGGTGGTGAAAAGCGGTGAGCAAGACGTACGTGTAGAGAGGGATGAAGACCCGGCCGGAGAAGAACCGTGCAATGGCTTTAATCACCAGCGAGTGCAGCACCGTGTATATCCCCGCCACTCCCCGCTGCCCTTCCCCCTTTCCTCCTTCCACAATCGCCCCTCCCCCCACCTCCTCCTCCTCCCCCTCCCAGCCCTCCTCTTCCCCCTCCGCATCCGCATCCGCCGCCGCCTCTGCAGCCGCGTTCCCCGCGTCCAGGGTGCTCACGCCAGCGGTGGCGCGGCCGCGGCCGCCGCTGACGGCGGCGCCGAGCACGGCGAGCCCGATAACGTCCAGAGTCACCGCGAATAGCACCTCCTGAATTTCCACCTCGCGCCCCGCTTGCGCCTTGCGCGCCCCTTCCGCCGCGCGCCCTCCTTCCGCCGTGCGCTCTTCCGCCTTCTGCCCTTCTTGTGCGATTCGCTGCAGCAGGCGCGCGACCCCCTTGCGCGCCTGGCGGTTCATCACGGAGAGCGCGTGCTGCGGACGGGGCGGGGTTACGGGGAAAACGGGTTACGGGGAAAATGGGATACGGGAAAAATGGATTACGGGGAAATGGGATACGGGAAAATAGGATTTGGGAAAATGGAGGCGTAGAACATGGAGAGCTCGAAGTGCGAGATGAGTCGACTCGAAAGTTCGCGGGAGAGAAAACGGGAGTCACGGAACAGGGGGAGTGGGAACAGCGAGCGCGATGGCGAGCGGCGAACGGTGAGGGGGGAGCGGGGAGCGGAGAGCGGGGAGCGGGGAGCGGAGACCGACTAGAGGCGCGTGCATTCTCCGAAAATGACGGCTGTATCGCTGTACCTTGACGGCGCCATGGCTGAAAGATGGATTTACGGCCTTGCGCTGCCGCAGCCACTCTTCGCCGTCAACAAACGGCAAACCGTCTCCCACGAAGCTCAGCGCGAGTTGCACGGCCGGCATCTTCTGGAAGCATCCCGGCCGTCCGATGAGCACCTGCTGCACCAAATCCGGATCCGCAAGCACCAGCGCGGGTTGCGGGCCGGCAGCGAATCCGAACACCTTCCCGAATCGCGCAATCCAGTCGCACAGCAGCGGAGTGACCGTTTCGGGCCCGAGCGGTGCTGACGTGGCAGGCGAAATGGGCTCCATGACTTGCCACTGCGACTGTAGTTCAGGGATCTGGCCAATGAGAGGCCGGAACGGCAGGAACGGAATGTTTTGTCGTTTGCATGCGACGACGAGCCGATAGGGAAGCCATACGACGCGATATAGGAGTAGTGCGAGTGATGATGCGACGATAACTGCGAGCGAACCCCATAAATGACGCGAGTCGGCGCATTCCATTATGGTATCCATAGGTCAGACTCCGAGCTTCCTCGGATGAATGTACGATGCTATTAATCTACTAACAGGAAACTCGCAATATGACGTTCAAGACGCCGGCCTAAAACTCTTGCAACAGGCCTGATAACTACAGGTCGTGACGTCCGAGTGAAAGAAAACGTAAGTTTAGGAGAGGGTTGTTAGTTCAACCCATATAAAAGAGAGGCGACCTTTCTACTCTTCGGTCGTCGCTACTGGTCGCGTCGAAATGAAGAGGCCGTACGTGGTTGCAAGAGAGCGAAGCAGCACCGCTGCAGCACTGCCTATCACACGACAAATCAGAGTACGAATGGCGGAGACTGAAAGAAAGAGCAAGGATGAATCTTGGGAGGAGGAGAGGAACACCGAAAGGTCGAAGGTCGAAAAACTCGAAAGGCTATTGGAGCGCCGACCGAACCGCCGCTATCGATGAGCAGCGGGCGAGGTGACCAATCAGAGATTTTGTCGAGGCTAGGCTGGTCCAGATTGTTGATTTTAATAGATGAGAAGGAGGATTTGCGAGGCGCGTTTGCTTACAGCGACGCGTGGGGTCAAGAGTTGGACAGACTCCGTCATTTATGGCAATGCCAGTGACGTTTGGGGAGAAAACTGTCGGAAGCTTTGTAAGTACAGTACTGACTTGGACTTTGCTAAGTGCCGGTCGGTCGAGGAGGTCGGGAGTGTGAAAATCGGGGAACACTGGCAGGCAGCCACTCTGGTGGATGACACTTGCAGCCACCGCATGTACAATACCAGACCTAGACCAATCAAGAGCCCTGTCGCGGCGACCAAGTCCCATGTCGTTTGGCGCGACCAAAATTTCAGGAAAGTGTGACGCATCGACCTCCACCTAAATGGTCGATCGATCATGTGACACAATTAGTATCTCCATCGACGGTTCACGTTGCCCGAAGGCGACAACACAATGCTGATGTCAGCAAACGCTGATACAGTTATCATCTGCCCCATGTGCTGCTGCACAGTAACACGTGACCCCTATAAAAGAAATTCGCATCTCACCACAATAACAAATACACACTGGCAAGGAAGAGCCCTAAGATGCACCATGACCAAACACAACCATCAAAACCTCTCTCATCCCTACCTACCCCAGAGTCACTCAGCCTGCCATCAACGCGAGATACCCAATACTGATAAATGCGTGTAAACCAAATTTCAGTGAGACGGAGCAACCATAAACCATGTTCATATGAAATCAATCGTACGCATGATCAACAACCGTAATCTCTGTACTTTCCTTCCTTTGCTACCCGTGTCGGGTTCACCCTAACTTCCCGCCTGTCCTCCTAGCTCTCCCAAGCCTCCTCCTTTGGTACAACCTTTGCACCACCCACAAACTTCTCCTCACCCACCACCACCCCTCCCTCCTCTATATAAAACTTGCCCAACCCCACTCTCCCTCCTCCCTTCCTCCCCCCTCCACTTATAAAAACAAATGGCTCCATGAGTTTCCTCAGAAATTGAGCCGAGTGCCCCAATAATCTACCGGTATCAGTTCTGTGCTCCTTGCTGCCCTTGCCCCTCTTACCGTAATTACCCGGGTAATGGACCCCTGTTACGAGTGCAATTGAGTGAACGAACGAGAATTGCACTATCGAGGCAAGAATACAAATGAGCGAAGGCATGAGCGAACATTATATAGCGAAACTATAGTGGTAACGGTAATGGTCGCGCGACGAGCCTGGGACTGAGGTTGGGAAAGTGTCGAAGCGTAGGCCCGGAGTGCGGGTTACCAGCCGAGCCGTGAGGTCGGGATGCGATGTGCGAAAAGGGCGGGATGATGAATGATGCGATGGTCGAGAGTGGTAACGGTGCTGACTGAGGTGCTACAGTGATGTACGCGTTGAGCAGGGACGCGAAGTAAGGAAAAGGGAATTTCCTTACACTACCCCCCCTCCTAAGGAGGTCCTCCTTATGAAAGCGCGTGGATGTCTCGGAAATTGCGGCTACGTAGGTAGTCGGTGACGACGGGGTGATTTTCAACTTTCTCCAGGGGAACCCAATTGTCCTCGGTGGGGGTACGATCTTTCCAGCGGATCAGAAACTCTACTTTGCGGGCTCCTCGAGGGTCGCGAACTCTGTGGCTCAGGATTTTGTCGGGGGTGATGACTGGTCCGGTTGGTGGTCGTGTCATGCTGGTGGGTCGATGTCGTGGGAGTTGGCTGGTGGATGGCACGTAAGGGCGAAGTAAGCTAACGTGGAACGAGGGGCTGACGTACCAGTCAGCAGGGAGGAGGAGGTGCGCGGTGACTGGCGTAACCATGTGACTGATTCGAAATGGCCCACAGTATCGAGGGCGGAGTTTTGGAGTGATGGGCAGGCGGAGGTTCTGAGTGTCGAGTAAAACGAGGTCGTCGGGCTGATAAGTAATGGGTCTGCGATGGCGATCGGCGTTGCGTTTAGCGATGATGTTTGATTTTTTGATTGCTTCTGCTGCCCTGGTCCGTGCTGCTTGCAGAATCTCGGCGAACTGTTGTGCTCGTGGGACGGGGTTGTCGGGATTCGGTGTCATGGGTACTGTTGGGTCCTGTCCGTAATTCAAGTAAAACGGCGACTGTTGCGTCGTGGCTGATGGTGCGTTATTGTATGCGAACTCGATGAGTGGCAGCTGCTGTTCCCACGTATTCGGATCGTCGCACGTGGCTCGAATCAGCTGCTCCATGGTTTGATTTGTCCGTTCCGTCTGTCCGTCGGTTTCGGGGTGATAGGATGAACTGAACTGTAAGCGTGTGCCGAAATGCTGCCACAGGTTCCGCCAGAAGTTGCTTGTAAATTTCGTGTCCCTGTCGCTGATGATCGATGCGGGTATCCCGTGCAGTCGAACGACGGTGGTGATGAAGAGTCGGGCGGTTTCCTCGGCTGTGATTGATTTCCTGCATGCTGCGAAATGAGCCATCTTCGTTAGTCGATCGACGACGACCAGGATCGCGTCATTCCCACTCGCCCCAGCTGGTAACCCCGTGACGAAATCCATCGTCACCTGCTGCCAAGCACGCTCTGGGGGCGGGATGGGTTGTAATTGTCCCGCCGGCCGCTTCCTGCTTGACTTCATGAGCTGGCAAGTGGGGCACGATGCCACGTGTCGTTGCACATCGGTCAACATTTCTGGCCAGTAGTAGTACCGCTGCAGCTGCTACCGTGTTTTTTCTACCCCGAAATGTCCCGAGGTAACTCCGTCGTGTGCTTCCTGTAACAGTAGTTCCCGCAGTAGCGTGTATCCTGGTACCCAGATGCGGTCAGTTCCAGCTTTTACGTAATAGACTCATTTTGCCGCTGCGAATTGATGTGAGTTGCCTCCTGTAAAGAACGGGTCTGTTTGATATCCGTGGGTAAATAGGCCTGTCAGTAGCGGGCTGGTCTGGGCGAGTAGTATCGCGTGGATCTGGGCAGTGGGGCGGGTCAGTGCGTCGGCGATATTCGAGGCTCCTTTTTTGTATGTGACCGTATAGTGAAAATTCGACTCGAGGAAATCAAGCCATCGAATCTGTCGTGGGTTGAGGTGGGGCTGTGCGCGGAGGTACTGTAGAGATCGATGGTCTGTCCGTACTGTCACGTCTGCGCCGGTCAAGTAGCAGCGCCATACTTTGAATGCGTGCACGATCGCAAGCATTTCGCGGTCGTGTATCGGGTAATTTCGCTCTGGCGGATGTAGTTTGCGTGATTCGTAGGCGATGGGTTGGAGGCCGTCGCCGAAGTCCTGTAACATGTCGAGAGTAATAAGAATGGGTAAGTTGAGAGGTAGAAAGGTGGGGCCTAGGCTTAGTAGCCTAGGCCCGAGCTTTAGGTGTCGAGCGGTTTTGTGCCTAGGTAGGAGTTCGAGTGAGTTGAGAAAAAGTTGGGAGAATGAGGAGCTTCACTATAGTTTTGAAGTACATATAGCAAAGGAAACACATAAGGTGCACCACCAATACAAAGTTTAAATAACTACACTACTGCTAGAACTACATGCAGTTATAATAAATATAATTTTGACATCCCCCCGTAACTGCATGCAGGAATAGCTAAGTGCAGAGCACAACCTGCAGAGGTACACCAACGAACAATAAAACAAGCAACAGCAGGTACACCCCCTCCATCTCCTCACCCTCCCCCTTCCCCTCCCCCACACTGCTGCAGAAGCAGCAGAGAAAGGGGGAAGAGAGGAGAGGTGGAGGGACGGCTGCTTGTTGCCTCACACCCGCCACCCCGATACCACTCCCCCTGCTCCCCCACATCCTCACACCCTCCTCCCCCAGCGGCAGCTGCAGCGGTGGGACTGAAAGAAGGAGGAGGGGAAGAGAGAGAGGTGACGCCACACTCCAACACCCTCCACCCCCATACCCTCCTCCCCACGGCTGCAGGGAGGCAAAGGAAGAAGGGGGGTGGGAAGGAAGAAAGCCGCAGAGCGGCGAAGAGGTGTCGGTGCAGATGGGTCAGGGGCGGCTTCAGGGAGTGCAGGGGCGGAAAGAAGGCCCGTCGCGGGCCAGTGCCACGGGGCGCACGACGGGTAGAATAAAAGGGCCCGATCGTGTGCCTCGGGGCACACGACGAGCAGGGCACCATCGTGTGCCACGGGGCGCACGATGGGCAGTTGAAGGGCACCGTCACGTGCCACGGGGCGCGCGACGGGCAGGGAAGGAGTCACACGCCCGTGGGCGGGACAAGGCAAAAATAAAATCGTCACGCGCCCTAGGCGCGCGACCGGAAAATATTAGCAGCGGAAGTGTAAAGCGGACCCACAGGCCAGGACGAACTCAGCTCTGATACCATGTCGAGAGTAATAAGAATGGGTAAGTTGAGAGGTAGAAAGGTGGGGCCTAGGCTTAGTAGCCTAGGCCCGGGCTTTAGGTGTCGAGCGGTTTTGTGCCTAGGTAGGAGTTCGAGTGAGTTGAGAAAAAGTTGGGAGAATGAGGAGCTTCACTATAGTTTTGAAGTACATATAGCAAAGGAAACACATAAGGTGCACCACCAATACAAAGTTTAAATAACTACAC